GGTTTTGTAGGTGATGACGTTTTTCACTCTACATTCTCTTTCCCCACAGACGCAAAGATGTAAGTCCATCGCTACCTTATCATTTGATAGAGTAGCGATTTCTATTAAAACAAATATGTAAAGAATAGTAAAACATTCTTTCACTCTAATAAGGACAAACAGATGAAGACATAAAGATAAAAAACGGTTCTTTTTTAGCATTTGAACCTGGCCAGGTTTTTTTTTTTATCTTTGTCTACTAATTTTAAGACTATTCGACTAAATTCACACTTCGCGATCGACATTTTTTTTTACACTGATAAAGAAATCGATGACTGAAGACTAATATTTCGGCACCTACTCTGTCTACTGTGCATTGGAAATGTTTGTCATTTGTCAAGAATGAAAGCAATCGTTATAGTGAGAATAAATCTATTATATGAATAATGTAAATGTTCTGTAAATTGTAGAGTGAGTGGCCATGTTAAGTGGCAGAACTGTCAAACAAACAGAATTCACAAATTATGCAATAAACAATAGCAAGAAAAAGAAGAGAGGCAAAAAATAATATAAAGCAAGGCAAATAATATATGCAAGGCAAATTAGCAGTAATATGGCAAAGCAACAGTAATATGGCAAATTAAGAGTAATAAGGCAAAACAACAGTAATATGGCAAAAAGTTTTTTTAAAAAAACTAAGAATTGGGGTTGACACACAACAGTGAATTCGAATAAACGAACGTAGCGTTCTGGCCTCACGACAAGACAGACCGGGACTGAGACAGATGAAACCGAGAAGTGGCCTATTTTATTGGCTAGGAAGAAATCCCAGCATGCATTTGTGTGCGTTTGCCTATAAACTAGGGAGGGCAAAAATTTTTTGCAATCATTCCCCCATCTTCTGCTTTAGTTTTGTTTTCGGATTCATTCCCCCCCCCCATCATTTTCATCATTATATAATTTTTTTTATATCTTTTTGTAAAATAAAAACGAAAAAAATACCAAAAACGACAAAAAATACCAAAAACGACATTATAAATGTTTACATCATGAGGTGTTTTGTTGGTCCCTTGTGAATATGTGGTATTATGGTAAATGTAAGAATGAGAAGTGATGGACAAGTGGTGATTGAGTATATTGTATTGAATGGATGGGTCGTGATTGTGTTTAACTAGGACTACGATAGTTATTTAGTACCACCAGCCTTTCCCCCACCTCTCATTCGGCCGTGTGCCAAAATTTTGTAATTTAAATACGAAATAAATATTCATTTCCCCACCTTCTGTGAAATCAACCCCCCCCCCATTCAATCTAAATGGATGAGTGAGATCGGAGGGAACTGATAATTGTGACAGTACGTGACAATGCGTGTGGGGATACCAACGTTTCGTAAAATTCGTTTTGTCTTCTTGTCTAGTGTTGCTGTTTTTGTCAGTGTTGTGGAAAAGAATTCTTCGTTTTCTGTTATTTTATTTGCTTGTGAACTGAGGTGGCAACTCCTGCATTATGACGGAGTCAACTCAGTCGCCAACATTACCGGTTCCTTCCATTTCGTCATGGGTGCCAGACAGCACCCCCCAAAAAAAAGTTGAGGTATTTAGCCGTGATCCACTACAAGTACCTAGGGGTACATCTCTGATAATGAGCTGCTCACCATTCCAGCAGCTTTGGTAAATCTCAGTACACGGACGATTTCCCTGCTAACAACTGATGTGAAAACTCGCAGGTTGATGGGAATCAGCAGGGACACTTTGGAAGAAGCAATAAAAAGCCCCCAGATAGCGTTTAAAGTGGTGGCAAAAAGGAGTCACGCTATGTGGGATATCCTCTTGTCAACAAAAGAGGAAGACAAACAACTAGCTAGAAATGTGCTCATGACGAAAACTGGAGTCCTTGGGTGCGCGAAAAACAAGGATTACCCTGCATCAGGTACCCTTAGATGTTATGGAAGATCATCTGGGAGCGTTCTTCATAAGTTAAAGAAAGGTGGTCAGTGCCTCAACAATTCTTAGCAAGGCCGGCTTTGCAACGAGCAACTTTGCGTTGCAAGTAACGATGAACAGAAAAGCCTTCGTGAGCATACCGAATGTGTTGACTTGTTGTGGGAGATCCATCTATAGTGGAAGTGGAGGGCCGATGGCTGTGCTGCTGGTCATGTGATGCTGTGGACCACATGGCGAAGTCGTGCCCCGACAAGAGACCGGCACCCACATCGAATCCAACACTTGTGGTAGATCCGGAAGAAGTGGTAGGATCGGAGGAGTCTAGTCAGGCTCCCAGTGAATGGCCAACAGTGGTTAGGAGAGGGACCAAGATAACTACCCCTCCAGCCCAGCAGGAGACGACGTCATCGACGAAGTAGCAGAAGAACAAACCACAACAGGAGCGGCACAAACGGGAACAGCAAAAGCAGACGCAACAACCAGAAAAGCAGCAACAATTGAGAGAAGAGCCTCGTCATCAGGAAGAGCCTCTGCAACAGCAACAGGAGCAGCCACAGCTGGAGCAACGTGTTCGTCAGCAGGTTGAGTTACTTCAATAAGAAAATGAGCAGCAGCCGGGAGTACGGGAGGCGTTACCAGAGCTGGGACTGTACATCGTTCTTCTTCTTTGAAAAGGTTGAGGGAGGAAGTTAAAAAGGAGGAGAAAGTGAACAAGAAGGAGAGAACGTCGGGCCAAAGCAGGGCGAAGAAGAACAGGGGAAAAAGCAAAGGCACAAACTGCCCTGTGCTTTGCCAGTAAGAATGGAAAACTACGGATCAGAAAGCTAAGGATAGGAGCCTCCCCAATTTCCCTTCTATGGCTCCTTTCTCTTCTTCTCGCTTCCCCACCACCTCCCAAGAGAAAAAGAAAAACATTTATTGAAATTTTTGCATCATGGGGTGTTTTGTAGGTCCCCTTTGAATATGTGGTATTATGGTATATGTAGGATTGAGAGGTGTTAGACAAGTTCTTGTGGTGATTGAGTATATTATACTGGGTGTCCATAAAGTTCGTGTGCACTTTAAAAAATTCATAACTTTATTTGTATTTGCGATAGAAATAATTTGTAAAAAGGATTAGAAAGAAGCAAATTTATATTTTTAAGGTTTTATTGAAACTTTATTTAGGTTTCCACATGTCCTCCATCATAAGCAATACAAAGGGTAATACGATTTTGCAGTTTACGGAAAAAATTTGCCAACTCATTTACAGTATTGCCTGAAATCACATTAGTTATTTTAGCTATACTTAAAACTAGGTACATTAAACTTTATAACATTTTTTACAGATTATTTCTATCGCAAATACAAATAGTTATAATTTTTTAAAGTGCACACGAACTTTATGGACACCCTGTATTGAATGAGTGGGTCCTGGTCGTGATTATCCACTTGCTTAAGCTCCCTAAGTATGTCACGCGTTGCTTTTCCTTGTCCCTCTTTCCCTCTATTCCCCCTGTGTGTATCAGATTCTCCAAGCCCTCCTTTCTCATTACGTGTTCCAGAAATTGCAGCTGCCTCTTCCTGATGTTAAGTATAAGCTTCCTCCTTGTTTGCATTCTCTCCAATTTATTTGACACCTTCTCTTTCGCAGTGATGTAACGTATACTCTGTTCAAACTAACTTCTTTTATGTGCCGTGTCCCTTCAGGACAGAGGCAATCATGGCTCTCCACTTCTTCCTATTCCTTGTAGTTCTCAATAGGTTTTGTCTTTTTGCTACTTCTCCCAGATCTTTTTCTATCATCCACTTGCTTAAGCCCGCTAGGTATGTCACGCGTTGCTTTCCCTTGTCCCTCTTTCTCTCTATTTGCCCTGTGAGTATCAGATTTTCCAAGCCTTCCTACCCAGAGATTTCAGCTGCCTCTTCCAGATGTTAAGTATAAGTTTCCTCTTTACATCCTCTCCAAAATCTCATCGTTGCTCGTTCGGTCCATGGTATCCATAGCATTTTAAGCTATAAATACCCAAAAAGTACGAATGCATTTCTTCTCTCATCAGCTATAGTTAAATAGCAGGGCTGATTGAGCTGTCAAGGCAAGATAGCCCAGTCACCTCTGTTATTTAACGCAACCGATCTAGAAAGAAAACTAAATTAAAACCAACCTGAAAAAGTTTAGGTTCTGTCGGGTTATCTCGCTGTAAACACGCTATTACCGCTAGCGTTTGCGGGACTCGTGACGTAACGATAGATATCCAAGTACTATAGTTGGATTAACGTAGATAATCATGTATACAGATTAATACCTGGACAGGTTTCAAAATATAGGGTGCATATGAAGTACATATTAATACAAGTTTAAAGCGTAAACAGAAGCCTGGTGACGAATACCAACCTGCAATAAATTATTCTACGACTGTTGTACCTGTTGACGCAATGCAGAAGTGTTGTAGGTGGGTTAACCTAACGAGTCAGAGGTAGTACCATCATGTCTCATGCATGTTTAATGAAGGGTAGGTCAGACGATCGCGCCGAATATGGAAGTTATTAAACTCGAACAGAGCATGTTGGATAGCACAAGGTCCGAGTAAGCCGGCTTTATTTTGCTTCATATTGCAATGGCATCAAAACGGACTGAACATTGTTCGGGAATATTCTTGTGCATCAAATACTAGTGCCGGCACAATTAGATTATTTCCTTCAAGTAGCACGATATGTATTGGGTGCAACATACCTATTATTTTTCAAATATTTTTTTCCGCAGCACGGTTATTGTATTCAACGTTTATTAACCTTATATACAAATTCCCGACGGCACGTTTATTTTATAAGTTGAAAAATTCCTATCAATATGACAATTCCAGACGGTATTTAATAGAAGAGAATACAAGGTATCGTTCAAAATTCTGTTCCTAAACACCGGAGGTGAGCGAGAGTTTTAACTTACAGCATCACACATTATAATGTTATGGGTAGAACCGGTATGTCGTGGGTGAATGTATTTAGAATATATTGCTCTTCAGGTCACCGTCACACACGCAAATGACCAACATGACAAATGCTGTTTAATGGCTATTATGTAGATAGATGTGAACAGAATTAGATAGATAGATAGATAGATAGATAGATAGATAGATAGATAGATAGATAGATATGAACAGAATGAGATAGATAGATGGATAGATAGATGTGAACAGAATGAGATAGATAGATAGATAGATAGATAGATAGATAGATAGATAGATAGATAGATAGATGTGAACAGAATGAGATAGATAGATGGATAGATAGATAGATGTGAATAGAATGAGATAGATAGATAGATGAGATAGATAGATAGATAGATAGATGTGATGAATGAGATAGATAGATGGATGATAGATAGATGTGAATAGAATGAGATAGATATGATGAGATGAACAGAATGAGATAGTTAGATAGATGGATAGATAGATAGATAGATAGATGATGAATAGAATGAGATAGATAGATAGATAGATAGAAACAGAATGAGATACATGATGAACAGAATGAGATAGTTAGATAGATGAGATACATGTGAACAGATAGATAGATAGATAGATAGATAGATAGATGTGAATAGAATGAGATAGATAGATAGATAGATAGATAGATAGATAGATAGATAGATAGATAGATAGATAGATAGAATTTTAAAAATACCTTTTGTTCATGCTTTCTACAAAGAAGAACAAAATAAACCCCTACCAAAGTTTTGTAGACATAATATGCAAAAAGCCAGTAAGGTTTAGTGACCATTGCTGGAAAAATAAAAAGAAATTGTCCATAATCTTATACAAGGTCTGTCTGAAAAATAACGGAACTAGTCTCAAACAATTTCAATTGTAAGCAACAAACTACATGGTTTCCCCTTCAAAGTAATCCCCCCCCTTGAATCCAATGCACTTTTCCAACCTTCTCTGACACGCTTCTATGTATTGCTGGAAGGATTCTTCTTTGATGCCCTTCAGCTACGTCGTTACGGCTCTTTTAGGGCTTTCAAAATGGGCTCCCTTAATGATCCCATCGAGGTTGGGGAAAAGAAAAAAATCACACGGAGCAAGATCAGGTGAATAGGGTAGTTGTTCCCGTACGGCAATGTTCTTCTCGGCCAGTAACTGCCGGATGCTCAGGGCATTGTAAGCAGTTGCATTGTTGTGAAGAAGCAGCCATGATTGGCCTGCCACAACTCATGCACGTGAAAAACAATGCAATGGTTGTAGAAAGCTAAGACTACAGTTATATACCCAGATGATCTCATGTTAGATGATAACATATTCCGCTTATCCTTCTTTCGCCCATAGCTCACACAGAACACCCAGTCTCATTACTTTTCAGACAGACCTCGTGTGATGGGATCTAAATTCTTGGAAAAGATCAAGAGGTAGACCAGCAAGAACCTTAATCGATCAACTCATAGAGAACATTGGAATCAGAAAGGAAGAATTAAGTAATAAAATATTGGCGTCTAAGTTATTTCCTGATGGCTGCAGTTTGACTAAGTTGCCTCAGGTATTTTTACCAAATGCTACAGTACCAGCTTGCTTTTTAAATATTATTGGGATATATCCATATTAACTTACTATGTATATCTACAATAGCACAATGTTTACTGGACTAATCTTGAAAATTAAGTTGCAAGCATAATAATTATAGTGATCTTGCACCAGACAATATCAGGTGTTTAATAAATAACAGTTAAGAAAATAAGAAGTTGTGCATCAGTTTATGCTAATGGATTCAAATTCTGGGAAAAGATCAAGTGGTAAGCCGGCAAGAACTTTCATTGATCAATTTATAGACAACACTGGAATCAGAAAGAAAGAACTTGAGTAGAATTATGTAAGACATAAATGGTTGGAAAGAAAAGGTCATAAATATTTGTTTGAAGACAATTAGAAAGATGAGTAGAAATCCATTAATGGATCCGTGAGTAGTTTGTAACAACAAAACTTCTGTGTTTCATTCATATAAAGCATTACGCACACTGTAGGTATAAAGAAGCGAATTAATATATCGATTGGGGAATCAGCTCTTTCATAGCAACCAATGTGACCAGCAGAATTCTCATTTCTGATCAGACAGCATCTGTAGTGCTCATAAAAACTGCTGCAGCTAATTTTGAAATTCGGTGAACTTGCCGCTCCTGTAAGCAATGAGAAAAACAAATCGATAAGACTAAATAAATCACATCAATTTTATAAACAGCCAATCGATAGACGGTTAGACATGCATAAACATTCCCTCGTGAATAACGAAAGCTATTTTGTAAATGTATAACTAAAAATCCGTCCAATTCACACAGAATATTTTATTCAGTCATTCTCTGGTTTCGTTTTTTTGTAAACACGCATGCGCACGTAAAGTGCTATGCATAGCAACCGAGGAGGTATCTATACTACAAAATGTTCTCAACAAAACGATACAGAACAAAAACAAAATGTACGACAGGCTGAATTTTTTAAAAATATTTATTCCATAAAATAGGATATTCTTTAATAAAAGTTTGCCTGTGGAAAAGGTATGCATTTTGTTAACAGCAGCGCCCAAGTGTCTATATTTCTAAAACAAGAAAAGTACTACAGAGTAACCCGGATATAAGAAACACGGATATAAGAGAAACCCGGATATAAGAGCGATTTTCTCTGGTCCCAAATTAGAGTCTATGTTAATGTATATAAAATAGACCAAACCCGGATATAAGAGACTTCTTCTCCGGTCCCGACAACTCTCTTATATCCGGGTTACACTGTACTTTCATGATCGGCTATAGAGGAGCGCTTCTCGCTAGGGTCGGTGACACTAAGCATTAGAAAAAGAAAAGAAGAAGAAAGAGTTTCTTTTTTGAAACCATGGATTTTAAAAGGTGCGAGTTACCTGCTGCTAAAAGACTGCCCACTACGGCTATTCCTATCTCCCCTGCAACCAATAATTTATACCCTGGCATAAAATTGTATCCAGGTAGGAATTCTTGAAAGAAAACTGACATCGCCTTTTGGTCCAGAGGCAGGAATTAACAAAAGCTCAGTTCTGGAGGTGGGTATATACTACTCGGGCTGCGACTTCTCCCTTGCACTTAAATGAGGGTGATTAGAGTCAATTTCTAATGGCTGAGGTGTAACAAAAATTCGGAAAGAACTAATTCTGCCACCACCCGTATCTATTTTTGCGAGACTCTATTTTACTTACGATCTTGTGTTAAATGTTTAGGTCGTGTGGGTAAATAAAATCGCTCGGCTAAATGCTAAACATGTCTCATTTTGTTGCTACGACGGAAAATGCAACGATTGAAAAATCAGCTATTTTTAATGTCAAAGGTGAATTACGAGTTAAAGGAGGTTTTTAGACGGAGTGATGTTTGTAAAAAAATAATGTTGTCTCTGAATTCTTGTGTCCACTAGGAGGTTGCATCTTCAACACTAATAATAATAATAAAGTATTAAATGCGTACATTGGACACACATGTATCTCTCAGCTCTTGAAAAATCGACCAGCACATTATCTCATCTTTATTGTCATATTCACGAAGTTTCGACCATTGTACGCTCCGGCCTTCTTCGGGTGACTGGAATTTCGAACTGAACCGTTTATTTCATTCACGGTGGAGTAATGGACAGCGGCTCGGATTGAAGAATCGGCGAGCCGAGTTCGAATTCCGCTCGAATCCATTGCATTCACCTACGTGCTAATACCCTTAGGAAAGGTATGAATCCTCTTCTCCCCCCCTAGCTATGAGTAAATAGCAGGACAGACCGAGTTCTATAGCCTTGGATGGCAACTGGGCTACCGCAGAAAGAAATGGCAACCTAATGCGGGAAAAATCTGCCTAGACAGTCATGTATCGAAAAATACATGATCGCCTAAGAGTGTATCATGCATGGCACATAACTGACTGACTGAACAATGTAAATAATCTAAATAATTACAATACCTCATCTCAGAAATATACAGATATAGAACAAATATTTATTGTCATATTCACGAAGTTTCGGCAGTTGTACGCTCCGACCTTCTTCAGATGATTGGAATTGCGAGCTGAACCCTTTATTTCGTCCATCTCACAATGTAAATAATTACAATACCTCATCTCAAAAATATAGACAGATATAGAACAAATATTTATTTCCAATGTTGGAATCCTTTAAAAAACATACTATGCTAAGTACATCCTTCTTTTGTGTGTGTGTGTGTGTGTGATGGTCGATGCCAATCGGCAAAAAAGATCCAATATTCCACCGCAATACAACACCCAAGCGTGACCGTTAGCTGACCTTTTATCTTTCCCTTGAGTAAAATTTCGCACGTTAGTGAATCTTCTGAATTCCAGGATATCAAATATTTATATACTGTATCTAAAAAAAAAAACAAAAAAAAAAACAACAACAACAAAAACACGTCTCCAACTAATCAGAGGACTGCCTACTAGTTGAACGAGTCTTTCTTTACACTATTTACATTATTCGGACTATTGTCCTAATCTTGTCGCCATATCCCTGTTCTAGACTGTTCTAGTTCCACGTGCCATGTCAGTTATCTCCTGTTAATTCCCCTCTCCAAGTTCTCCACTGCCTTAACCGGGTATTGAACTCACACTTTTGGGTCCTGTCACTGGATCTAACTAACGCCTTTATCCACTGAGCCATCTGTCCTTAACAGTCTACCTCAGTGAGCGAAATAAAGGCTTCAGTCCGACATTCCAACCACCCGAAGAAGGCCGGAACGTACAACGGCCGAAACGTTGTAATAAATATAGCGACAAAGTTGAGGACAATAGTCCGAATAATGTAAATAGTGTACATAATACATCATCTCAGAAATATAGACAGATACTGAGTCATTCTTTTTTCCTTTCCCTAATCCAGACTCTTAATGCTATGTTTCGACCTAGAGTTTTAAAATCATTCAGTGTGCCAACAGCATACGTATTTTTATACAAGTCAAGGTCGATATCCCTGTTTTACAATATATTTTATATAGTAATATATAGTATATATACTTTAGTATATATTAAAAGCTAAATATCTTCTTTGCGTTGCAGTAGTTATTGGTTCGGACTTTGTGATGTCACTTGTCGCTGCGTGCCATTGGAAATCGTTTGGCGTGCTCCGTGCGGCACATGTGTCGTAGGTTGTCTACCCCTGATCTTCTAAATCATTATGATGGCTTAAATTATTCCCAACCATAGCTTCCGACAGCTTATTCTGCGTTTTGAGGCTGAACATACAATTTTTCTGTAGTTCATTGAAACTAAACGATAATAAAATATAATAGGGTAGGTGTCGGCAACATTTTGCTGGCTATGTGCCGACTTAGGGTTTTAAAATCATTCAGTGTATCAACAGCATACGTATTTTTATATAATTCAACGTCAATATACCTGTTCTACAATATATGTTATATAGTAATATATAGTATATATACTTTAGTATATATTAAAATTAAAACAGCTAAACATCTTCTTTGCGTTGTAGTATTATTGGTTCGGACGTTCGTGATCTTATTTGCGGCTGCGTGCCATTGGAAATTGCTTGGCGTGCTACGTGTGGCGCGCGTGCCATAGGTTGCCGATTCCCCCCCCCCCTGTCCTCATCCCTAAAACTGACTTATTCTCTTCTACCTTCACCATATGTAATGTTACATGTACACCTGAGGGATAACTGATAAAAGAGATGGTGAATAAATCAAGGAGGTTGTATTGCGTCAAAACTTTAAGTCTCTGAATCTTATCATTCAACCTGGGTTCGAACACTGACCTCTTGTATCAGTCATTTCAATGTATCAAAAAGTCCCGGAAAAAGAAAAAAACAAAGATTTTTTAAAATCATTTTACCCCAAGCAAGGCAATAATGACACTAAGACACAAGGGGGTTACTGGGAGTGAAAGAGAATGAGAAGACTTTATAAGCAACCGTAAACACAATCCTAGACAGGGATAAACTTCTACTACTGTTCAAAAGACCGGGGAGGAGTATGAACAGGACGATAAGCGAGCCCATCTACTCCTATCATATCAAATTCTTCGAAGTAATTCCTTTGTAAGCTACTACACTACTTTATAACAGATACTACTCACAAAGAGTAGTGGCAATAGTCCGTACATGGTGAAAACCAACAGGCAGCTACATGTATTTAAAAACTTATTAAAATTTACTTGGACAAGTGAGTGATATGATGATGTTCAGAAAATAATCACGTTTTGCCAGAAACAATATAAACGCAAATGTAAGTTAAATTTATTTAAATATTATTTATCCAAAATATAATCACGTTCATTTTAAATGATTGCATCATAACAAGAAGGCAGAATTTTGATTGCATGTGTGATGAAATCAGAGTTTTCCTTTGAAGGCATTTTGAAGGACTGTTTTCAAGTTCTTAATAAATTCCATGGCAACATCCAGCACACACAATATGTCCGCCGGATCTAAGACAAGTGAACATCGCGTCCAAAGAACGACTTAACGAAGAATAGCTCCTTGAACGCTTACCAAAGTATGCTAAGAGGCGGAACCACCACGACAACACGCCCTCATGGTCACTTGGAATAAGGTGAGTGTTTTGAATACAACAGATATTTACACCGAGGCATATGAGATCGCCAGTGAGCCGAGCCGTCGGCCATTTATACTTGTTAACCAGAGAGATCGACAATCGATTCTTACTGGTGTTACGCAGCCGGGACGAAGATGCCGAAGATCAGGACACCGATTACCTATTCCGTAAACACTTGGCCCATTTCATTTTTAATGAAGCGATCTTGGGACAGCACCCCTATGTCCCCGGGGAACGTTAATTTAACTGCTCTATAGAGGGATGGATTCATCAAAACAGGGCACCTCTCAGCACAATATTGTTTTTTCATCCACCATGATTGCCTTTCTTTTGAGTGATATAATGATATTCGGAAAGTAATCAGCGAATTTATTCCACAGGAAATTGAACATAAAAAGGTGTCCATGAAACTCAAAATTCAGATAAGAGAAATGAATTATTCTATTATATTGATAATTATTGTTCTATCTCTTAATACTGAACTATCTATTTGCAAAGACTGCTTGCCTTGGATGCATTTTCTTCCGGAAATTTCTCCAGTGGATTGCATCTTTTGGCAAAGTAAAAGGCTTTCATATTATTACACACACAAACAGAGAGAGAGAGAGAGAGAGAGAGAGAGAGAGAGACCGTCTGATTTTATTATGCAAATCATATAAACCTCAATAACTCGTTGCTTTGAACAATTTTTGTCAGATTTTAAACGATTAATTTAATTTGTATTGAATTTTTAGGTAGTTTCAACATGTCTTATTAAAGTTATCTGAAACTACATAAAAATTGCTTTATTTTCATATTTAAATCATTTAAAATTTGACAAAGTTTGTGGAACTCTCTTCCGGTTTCTTGTTTTCCAGTCAATGTTGAGCTTCAAAAATTTACATGCAGTATGTTATCGTTATCTTCTTAATTCCTGTTCTTTTATTGTTCTTACTCCTTAATAATGTTTTCTTTTTCTCTTATTTTCTCACACTCTGTAACTCCTTGCATCTTAGTGACTTTATTACCTTGCCTGGGGTGAAATGATTAAAAAAAGGTAGTAATAGTTAGTGATAGGACAATTAATCAAAATCAGAATCGAGAATTGGAAATATCAGAACTTTGGGGGGTATTGAAATTGGAATCAGATAATTTTTAATCTAATTTCCAATTCCAAAAACGATCCTTTGGATTTTTTTCTTTTTTGTTTTTTGTTTAAAACTTAATTTTCCATTCCTCATACTAATGAAAAAAAGATATAAATATTTATTGATTTTAAACTATCATTAAAACTAAAAACTATAGATCATAATAACATCTAAGTATGATGTAAATTTATTTTACTTGTGTAAAAAAAATATAATGTGCAAGTTTCTACTCAGTTCTCAAACTTTCCATAAAGTTCGCTAGTTTAAAGTCTGTTTCAGTTCAAAATAAAATTTTGATTTTTAATTTCTT